TAATACCCTCGAACATATGAAGAATATTAAAGAAGAGAGAACATAGAGTTAAGTGGGATGCATGAAATAGTAAACTAATTAAATGCAGATAAAAGTCCCTTGCTTACTTGTTTATGAAATTGATCAAATTAATTCAAAATCTATCCAGATATATTGAACATATATAGATATGTCAATGTCAAGGAATGCTCTAAGTTGCAACTGATTAACTGGAAGGAGCAGCATCTACGACAATTAGCTGTATTTACTTTTGCAGAGCTATTTTCCTTGTAGTCCTATGCAATAACTCGAATATGACATAGAATAAATCTTTCCACTTTTTACTTTGCCAAACTTGAAGTTCGATGCAGAGCTCTACCTTCCTGCATAATTGTTATGTGCAGAAACTATTAAATATGCAATATGCATTTTTATGCTCCCCTCTGAAACAAAGATAGCGACTCGATGATTTTCTCAGTATGCTATACTCTCAGTGAGAATATGTATTGTTTAGAAATGCCTTGTTTTCTTTCAATCTGGATCATCAGAAAAGACGACGACGAAAATTAAGGTCAGTTTTGGCCCAAACCACATAAGCACTATAACAAGAAAAAATTCCCAACCTTGTCTGATGTTTTATCCTGCTACCTCTCACACGACTATCATATTAGGAAATAACTTGTCATTCCAGGTATTTGAAAATGACGATTATCTTATAGTTTCCCACCTGGCTTGGAAGGCACAATCCACTACGCTACGTTAAAAGACGGCAAAGAGACGTTCAAATTACCTCAGAAGATCCTTCGAAATAATGAACCTGGGCAGACAGATTTCCTCTAACGGAATGCCGGCAAACTCTGCTTCCGAACAATCTCTGAAATATGATACACATCGGCAAAGCATCTGGTCGAGCCGAAAACTCCAAAACAATAAAGCGATTCTAAACTGATTAACAACAGCCGCGAATTAGGAATAGAGGATGTTCAGATTTTTTGTAGATGCACTCAGTGATTGATGACAACATTGGAATATTTGACAGTTTTTACACTCCATTCCAAGAGCGCTGACGCACTATTCTTGCATGCAGTACATGCTAGTTGAACGTGCAGTAGTTGCGGACTTGCACAAGCAGTCAACACCAGGTTACATACTGATCGCTCTAATTATGGCATATAGAATATGCACGGTCAACAGCTGTGATGGTCGAGCAGTCAAGATGACGAGGTGAGTGAGTGTTTGAGGGAACGGAGGTAGATGAGACAGAAGTCTATCCTCAGCGCCTTTGTTAGCCTTGTCAGCTACACCACGTAAACATCGCGGCTATGCACACTTCACCTCATAAGGGTACACTGTCCAAATTATCATTAAGCAGGAAGTACGACGAGAACCTCATTACGGTAACTGCGGCAAGGAGGCACTCTTCAGTAAAGTGGACTATACAATGTTTTCGAGATACGCTGTTTGAACCACCTCTCCCCCCATTGCATTACCTGAGTAGCTATGTCTGGAGATATAATCTATCATACGAAAATGTCATTGATGACAGATTATAAAAATGCACAGCACACGGACAGTGACTTAGTAAGCTTTGTATACTTGAAGGAAGAATTCTCAAATTGAAAGGGTAGGCTCAGAATAGAAGACTCAGTGAATCCAAAAATAAACAAGCACTTACAAAATGTTTATGTCAAACATTTCCACATAAATAAGTTAAGGCTAAGGGCATTGAATAGCTGTGGCATAGGTGGAAAAGAAGGGAAAATTCCAATAGCAGAGAAACAATAGCAGTTCATTGTTATGACTACATCTGTACACTTGCATATAATATCTGACTTAACCTTTAAGTGCAGGATTCCCCATCAGGAAATTACGCATCAACCCGACAAAGCGTGCGAACATCTCGTAAATAATGTTTTATGAGGTAGACGAGGTGAGACGGCGATTTTGATGTCGGCGCTCCACAGGAGCCAGGAGGTCAAGCCACGTTGCTAGGTGGGACTGCAGATGAAAGCGAAGCCGACCGTTAGCTACTAATTGCCTTTAGCCATGCAGGTGAACAGCAAGAAGACAGACGGAGTAGAGGATAATGGAAACCCTGGAGTCCTGTTACCTGATTGGAAGGCTCAACAGAAAGACGCCGGTCTCCACCATTTCAGGACAAAGTGTCCAAATGAACAATAACCACATGTCCACTACTTAGCTATGGTGGAGCCCTTGCTTTCGTTCGGTGAAGCGTTGATTATGTTCAAATGTGTTCGTATAAGAGCATGGTCGAATAACTGAGCATCTCGTAAGTGAGGTGTATATTAAAGAGAAAATCGACTACGGATGGGATCACTAGGGACATGATCCTAGATTTCAAAAAATTTTTCTATAAGCGCTTAGATTCTGATA